AGGGAATGCCGCATTATACTAAAGCCAGCCTTTCGACATAAGCTACTATTCCATACGAACACAGAAATATTAAAAAGTAGTCAATGCTTGCTGTATGAGACGAATTTGAATATACGTAATGTATAATTCCTTATATGATTCCTCAAACAATCCCTGATATAACACTGTGGAACACAAAGAAAACGTATAATGCGAATAGCTGTTGGCCATACAAATAATGCCTCTGAATATAGCGGCTAAATCTTTTTTCTCCAAATTTTGAAAATTTATCGTATTTTGGCCTTAGATTTTATTGAAAATAACATACAAAACAGATTTTTGGATCGTGAAAATTTTTTTCTCTAGAACACGAATTGATCTAGTAAAACTGAGTATGATTATTGGTATGGTCAACAGCTATCAAACCTGGGACGAATCGTCACATACGATGTCGTATTACTCGTCACGTAAAAACACCGTTTTCGGATTATGACATACGTGAGCGTACTCTTTATCCCATTCAGCTTATACGACTGACGGTATCACGTAATTTTCTTTCGTATGGTTTTCGATCCGTGAACGGATGTTACGATTCGAGCCCTGATATATGCGCCCGAGAAGCCCATATGAAAGAGGGGGACAAAAGATCACACGTAAATAAATTTCTCTATTTGGCCTCTACAGTATAAGGGAAAAATTTCAAATTCTTAAGGGATACTTTTCTTAGTGATACGGCACATATAAGGGATTATATATAAGCCACACTCTTCTAGCTGGGTATTCATCAGCTCAAAAATTTTAAGCATATCATATTCCTGTGAATAGAAACACGCCTAATTTTATTATTTTACTTAAGCGAACATAATTATTGATGTAGCTACATCTTTTTCTTAACTTACAAGCATAAACAGACGGCAGTACTTAAGCGGGTTTCACTACATACCTATTCTGATAATTGGCACGCTGTTGAGAAGGTGTAAAATTTAGTAATTATTCCACTAAAATGCTTTTTTTCTTCCCGTTTTTCTTGTACTTCCAAAATACAAGATTAAGCTAAGGAAGTTCGAATTCGAGTTGTCACAACGTACAACACCTTTCGTTATTGCATCATGGGACACACACACGAAATAATGACATTTTTTTCTTGACCGTTTTCTTCTTTATGATGAAAAAAAATGTATCCGCATGTAACTTTCGTAAGGCGGGAAATGCTCCTATGTATTAGACAAACCCAAATTTTGCCAAAAGAAAACGCAATTGGCTTTTATATTTTCTTTTTCATTTATTTCATTTAAATTTTACGTCAATTTAATTATAATATTTATCAATACAGTTATTATTAATATTTACAGTTTGTTTGTTTCTCGATTTCCCGCAACACGCACAAAACACTTATTTGTTTGCCTATTATATTTTGAGTTTCTCATTTTTATATTTATTCTTAATTTTTCTGTTATTTTTTTCATATCCATGACTTTATAACTGTCTATTTTATATATATGGTATATATGTTTCTTTATAATCTATTCATATATTTAATATTCAATATAATTTATCTTGTGTAATTTACATGTGTTATACATACTTATGTATGCATGAATTTACTACATACACGTAGTGTATGCATTATAGATCTTTTTGCAGCATTTAAAATCTAGGCAAATTATACATATGTATGTATGTTTGTATATGTATAGAAATTTTTGTTTTTTACAAGTCGGGTTTTAAGAGGAGTAGAGAGGAGGAATCCAATGATTTGTATTTATGTATGTGTGTTAATGTGTATATGTTCGTTTAATAAATTTAGACACTTGCAGTTAAATGGGTTGACGTCGATTTTTAATTTTTTTTTACTTTTTTAGTATTTTCGCTAAGTTTCTAAGCTTTTAACAATTACGCTTAAAAGTCGTCAATTTTGCTATTTTTTAATTAGTTAATTAGTGATTTTTCTGGGTTTTGCTTGCAATTTCACATTCTTCATAACTATTGTTTTTTTTTATTTATTTTAATTTTTGTTATTTTTGTATCTGTAGATTTATGTATGTTATATTTGCTAATACGCGTTTCCAAACAAGTATACACACATATGCACATGACTTTCTACAGTACTACTGATTTTTATTATTTTTTAGGTGTTTTCCTACATATGTACGTATGTATATAAGAATATTCGAATGTACTATGTATTTAATTGTTGGGTTTAATTTTTTGTAATTTATGTATGTATGTACATATGTATGTATGTGCGTATAAGGTGATTGATTTTAGATATTTTTGGTGTTATTTAGCTCTGTTTAAACAATCCGCATGTTTTTCGACAAAACTTCAATATTTCGATTTACATACATATGTATGTATGTATGTATGTATGTACATAGGGTACTTGTGATCTCTGTACGTACTCGTATATAAAAGTTATAAAGAAATAATAGAACAATTTTTTTTTGTAAGAATTGCGACTGTAGTGGGTCGATTATGGATACCTTAGTTGGGTAGACGATGGTCAACGCCACTGAATTATATTAAGAATAGTAATTTTTATCAATCGAAAAGTGTATATTTAGAATATAACTATTATCAAGTGCTCTAAAGCTGAAGACTTGTGTGCAAAAAACCTGCAGAAATAGTAGAAAAAATGCAGTTGCTAATATGTATAGCAACTCTCTGCTCTAATAGCTAAGTAAAAATCAAAAACGAGCCGAATGAAAATCTAATGATTGTTCTTGTTGCAAGTTTAGCAACAGTACCGAGTTTGAAAGGAACCTAAGATGGGCCCAAGAAAGATGCTACATTAACGGCGCTGAAAATCACAGCAGATACAAAATAACAAAATTCTCCAACTTTTGATGCATAAATTTATGATGCCCAAGTTGATACCTAATAATATTCTCAAATGAAACTCAAATTAAAAAAAAAGCTTTTTTATAACTGACTTCTTTTAAAAGTTTCCACATACAAATAAAAAATTTCAGTCCCATATCATATATGGCATGGTGGAATTATACAAGGTGTTGTACGTAGTGACAGCTCATGTCGACAGCTCCCTTACAAAAGGTTGTAATATGGAAGCACGAGAGAAACGGGAAGAAAAAAAGCCCGCTTTGCGAAGTAGTTCGAAATTTGGTACTATTTTTCATATAAAATTTTGCATATAAATAGTTACAAACGGTATATTATGATAAGCTAAATTCGCGAAAGTAGTATATATAACGTAGTACTTATGCAATAAATGGTAATTTAGTTTATTAAACACAATGTCCTATAATTATAGTCAAACTTCCAAAACCAAAAAATTAGTGGTGACCCCGAGTCGTTACATGACGGAATCGACAAAAGGGCGCATCGACGGATGGGGAGAATATTTCATCGAACAAAATGCCAACTAAAGATGTGGAGCTTGCATCGCAATGCAAGCTGCGACCGTTCTGAACTGAGATGCCAGACAAATGGTTTCTACAAATTGAGGCCACCTTTCAGTCGTACAAGACCACATCTTATGTCGGTAAATATAATCTGGTCCTCTCAGCAATTAGCAGCGATGCTTTAAAGGAAGCTGCGGATGTTTTAAAAACCTTACCAACTCAAGACCGATATATTAACCTCAAAAGTCAACTACTGTCACGTTTTACTGATTCAGCCGACCCACATAGGGTATTTGGCTGATTTAGGCATATTTTTATCGCTACAAACATCAAATATAGTTTTAGTTATCGAATAAAACATTCACTATAACTACCCTGTTACTAATAGAAAATTCAATCGTAGTGAAATCTTATTTATTGTCAATATTATTGTGGCTTATTAACATTTGTTTCCATATTGTTATTGAGCTTTGTAGCACTATTATGTTTTTAGGGAAAAGGGAAAAAGCAACAAAGTCTTAGCGGTAGAAGTTACCAAAAAAACAGTTATATCGTTGGAAAAGCAGGGCCAGTGGCAGTGAACCACAGACGGGATTGCAGCAGCAAAAATCACTGGGGAATAGATGCATAGTTAAATACGTAGTTCTTGTTTAAATCTTCCATCTAAACTTACCAAGAAAACAGTTATATCGTTGAAAAAGCAAGGCCAGTGGCAGTGAACCACAGACGGAATTGCAGCGGAAGGAAGCACCGACCAAAATAACTACAAATCTCTCTACTCTAAACCGATGTTTTTTTGCCGAATTAATGTTGAAATTTCTAATTTAATTTTCAGTTGCCAACGATAAGAATAGAGTAAATGTCAAAGAATTGTTCAGTGATTGCAAATCAGTTTTGGAATAGGGAATGAGGTAGTTTAGTACTTTTTTAAAGACGATAAAATGTAGTTTTTTCAAGAGGGAAACACCGATATAGCTAAGGGAGCCAAGATGGCGGATTAGAGCGAGAACGCTGTCAATATCCCACACCTTGTATTATTCCACCATGATATATGGTATGTCAAGCAGAAGTTATGGGTCGATTATCGATAGCAATCGAACTTCAGTTGCGTTGCTAGTTGCCAAAACGATATTACAGATGGATACTGGCAACTTTCAACTGACAACTGCAGTTGCTACAAAGTGTGCATACAGGCGAGTACATTTTTGTGGTTGCTGAGAATGTTTTTTGAGCGTGTTTAGGAGCGAAATTTGGAAAGTGTGCCATATATTTTATATTAACATTTTGCAATGCAGTTTGCTTTTACAGAATATGGAGAAAATAACAAAACAATAACTTGAAATTTTAGTTCCCGTTGCGAAACAAAAGCGAACGCTGATTGAAAATTTTTCAGGTTATCAACTGAAGCACCTCTTTTAAAACTACCGACACACCAAGTTTCCCAAATTAAAGTCATCGCTGTGGCACTTCCTTCTGCGAAAAATCGAAAAGGTGCGCAAGCTTTTATGAGTTGAGGTATTGAGGTTGAACGAAGTGGTTCATTTGTTTATTAACCAATTATACTACAGCTTCTTTTGGAAGTCCTCAAAATGCTTTGAAAATGAACACAAAACGATAATAAAAGAAAACCTTGAAAGCATTAACATTTGTTTACAGTGCACGCGGTAGCTCTAGAGGATTGGAATTATCCTTTAAATGTCGCCTGATTAAGGCCGCGTTTATGCACTTCTCTTCCTCTTAAACAAATAATTGTGATGAGCTTAGCTTTATTGCTGTTTTTTCTTTAAAACTCTTTATTTTACTAATTTAATTTTACTCGCACAGCTTGTTTACAGCCGCTTGCTGGTTGTCGAACTGCCAAATTTCGATTATCGATAATTCGACAGCAACTGACGATAGTTGCCATTCGTAATAGAATTTTCTTGCCAGCTGGCAACCGAACCGTGGTTGCGTTGCCATCCGTAATCGACCCATAAGCTTTAGTGCTCTAAGTTACCTAAAAGTGTTCTCTAACAAAAAATAGGGGCTTGTTCGAGTCGCAATCACAGCCGCAGTGTTGCGCGAATTTCTAGCAATGTATTATCAGTTGGCCAGTTGCAGCAAATGTTGCCATTTTTCATCAGTACGGCAGTAATGCCGCTTTTATTACGTGCCTCGAACAGGCCCAATCTATTAGGAATGGTATAAAGGTGCTTTAGAATAAACTAATTTAAGTTCGCATGGGTAGTGGGTATTAGTAAACGTGCGAAGCCTCTTACACGCTTTTATCTTTATTTGTATGTTTGTATGTATATGTGAATGTGTGTGTGTTATGAAAATCAAATGATCATGAGAATTACAATCAAAATGATTTAAACAAAAAACAACTCATTTAATTGGTTGTACGAAAAAAATAACAGACAAATTTATTGATCTTCCTTTTGTTGCTTCTTTGTTTAAAAACAAACAAAAAAAAATCAAGAGAAACTTCTTGCGTATTACAACTTAAAATGTACATTGGTACAGTAATGAAACTTATTTATTTGTGTATTTCATTGTAATTAATCATATATGTATCTATGTCTGTATGTACATATGTATTAACATACATATTTGAATCATTTCTAAATATACTATGTATGCATCTAACGGAGCGGGCTAGTGCTAGTACATACATATGTATGTATGCATAGACTTTTTCAATACTCTAACGCTAGCTGACCTTGCTTATTAGATGTTTTTCGGGTTTAATTTTTAAATTTTTACAATAACTTTAAATTTTAACGCTGCTTCTTTCAAGATTTGCTTCATACACTTTTATTGTTTTTGTTAAATATTTATATTATCATTAATTTTAATTTGACTAACTCAGCTTTAGTTGCTTTGCAGTTAGTGAATATATGTATGTATGTAATAATTAATCTGTTCTAACGCTATACTAAATACTAATTTTACGTTTAACTGTACATAGATTTAAAATAGTTTATGTGTTACTTTCATTTTTCAAGTTTATTGTATTAATAGATGCTCTACATAACATTATTCTGTAGATTTTTTTACATTAGCGCTTAGCATTACTCATAATTTATTTATGGATATACATACATACTATATATTGTATTTTACACACTACTTTAATATTTTAAAAAGTTAATTATTACCAGAATAATAATGGGAAAGGGATAATATGTAATATTTTGGATATCGTGAGGATTGTTTTCTTTATACCATTTTCCTTTAAATTTTAGTTTTATATGCATTTTAATGTTCCTCCTTATTTTCAGCATAGTTCAGTTTATATTTTACTGTTGTCTTAAAAAGAAAAAAAAATCGAGAATTCAATGAAAACCAAAAATTATAAGGTAGAAAAATTCTATTCAACTGTGACAAAAAAAAAATCAGTGACAACAATGCTAAAAGGTAAGCAAAACATGTGTCGAATTGATTGGGAAGTCTTACAACAATATATAGATATGCCGCCAACAACTAAGGGGTTGGACAACTAGTCTAATCAAGACGCAAAGCCACGAGGCATTTAACTCAGTTCCACTCTTTACGTGAATGCTGGCCGGCTTTCCATAAACTCCACAAAAGGCATAGAAGTTTATTCGTTCAAGAAGATTAACCAAAAACAAATAAAATTGTGTGCCTTTCTACAGCTGCGGGTTCATATATAACTAATAACGCAGAATATATGTTTGTATGTACAACCTAAGCAAAAATATACACGTATGTATGTATTTCGCAAAAAATGGCAGTGATAGAAATAACAAAAAAATATATATAAAAATTATGTAAGTAGAACAGACAAACTTGAAAACAATTAAAGAATTTATCTAATAGTTTAGTTAGTGTAGACTTAACTTAATTTACGTAAGAAATCATCAATGATTACTCAACACGTCAACTTAGCCAGAAGCGAAAATATTCTGTTTTTTTATTTGCCTTTTCAGCTGATAGTCACTTGGCCGCCTATAAGCCACATCAATAAATTTCGGAACAAAAATATATTGCTTTAGCCAATGCATTAGTTAACGTTACGTAAATTAAGTCTAGACTAACTGAACCTTAAGAAAGGCATGCCACTTAATTCAAGTATGAGACTCTTTCAAAAGCAAGACCAAAAATAAAAAAAAAAACATTAATAATAGTGACACACAAGTGAGTTGAGCGTGAGCGGAAATACATACATACATACATTTGAATGTATAAGTAGTTGCACATAACAGTTTCCAGATAAGGTTCCAATTTAAGTGTAACATTAAATGGACACGCATATATGTATGTATAATTAAGTGAGTGTATGCATGTATGTATGTTTATATAAGCAATGTTGGGTATTGATTTTAGTTTTTTTGTCTTATGTCCTCATTTCTTTCTTATTTTCATTTTTTTTTTTGGCATTTAAACTTACAATGTAACAAGCATCTAAGGCATTCTTAGAATCTTATTATTATTGTTAGTAAAATTAAAAATAAACTTAAACACACATACGCACAGTAAAAAAAAAATCATTAAAGAAAAAAACCTAAACACTGAATTTCGGCAACATCTTGCCAGATGACAAATATTGTAGGAAGAAAATAAGTAGCAAACTGAAAGTTTTATGAATAAAAAGGTGCTGACAACAAAAAACGTATTAGGAAAAGTGGCACCGTTTTGTACATATAATAGTCAAGAAAAAAAAAAGAATTCACACGCATGAATAAAAACTCACACTTTTAATGCTGTCACAGAATAAACAGTATGCAGAAAAACATCAGACCATACATTTAGCCGGTTTTAATGTTACGGAATGGAGCAGAGAACTTAACCTTCAAATGAACAGTGCCGGCCAAATGAAAACACTGTTTAAGTAACCGAGGCAGTGCCGACTTGACGTACGCTTCTTTGCTAACCGACCGTGCCATAAATTCAGACTTCAGCGCACGCAGAATGCTTCTTGTGTATATTGTTTATTCTGTACAGTTATTGAAACAATTCAGCTGGTACTTTAAGCTTGGCTTACCACCCCTCTTCTCTTCCTCAAAGGATTACTATCAAGTCGTTTGTTTTGCTCCCTTGTACATTGTTATCTCCGCATAGATTCACCTTTTAAAAGTTTATTTTAGCTGTAAAAATCAGTTTATATTTGATCAGTTTGTTACCTTTTTTTTAGTTTTTGTTTCCTTTTGATAAAGCAAATAAGAAGTAAGCTTTTCTTTAATTTGAGATCATACATAAATTACAATTTTTCATTAGTTAATAACCGTAAATTAGTTTATTATTTAAACCTTACTAATAAATATTTATGTTTATTAATAATCCTTCAACTTGCTTTCTTTTATTATTATTACTGTAATATGAAACACTAAGGAAAATGTTATTCATAAAACAAGTGCGGGTCAAAAACTAAAAAAGTACGACAAAAAATAATACGAGGTATTCACAAAACTTGTAATAAAAATTTGCTTAGCAGCATGAAAATCAAAAAAAAACTATATATATACATTTTTAACAAATTGATATAATTAAATATTTTACTTTTTCATATTTTCATATTCTCATTTTTATCCTCATAACTCCGTGTCCAAATTACGAATACCTATCTTGGAATACTTGCACGCATTATCGTAGTATTGCGTAGTTTTTCCCTTTTTACTTTTTTGCTTGCTTCATTTCAATATCGGTTTTAGTTCAGTTTACTGTGCCTATTTGACTATATGTCAGGGGCGCGGGTTTCTCTTTTTCTGTATAGATTTTTTCAAATTAACACTCATTAACGCCTCTTACATTTAAGACTTGTTTTGTTTAGTGTTTTGTATTTTTTGTATCCCTTTACTTTTCTTATTTAAAGTTTTGGTTTTCATCTGATTTATGCTTTTAGCGAATTTGCTTATTGGGTGTCTGTTAACGACTTATTAGATTTCTGGGCTACACTTTTTGTATATTTTTTTTTGTATGTTATTTTTTCGAAAAGAACTTAATTGCTAGAATCCTTTATACATTTAATTAAAATAAATTACATTCGTTCCTCCCTAACGTTTGTATGTAGTTATATTTCCCTTTTAAATATCTTCCTATGCGCCAGCAGTTTTGCGCCTATTTTTACTTATTACTTCTTCTTTAGAGGCAGATTTCTTTATTGTTTTATGTAGTCACATTCCATGTAATGAAATCTGTTACAAATTCACTTGTTTGTTCGCGTCAGTATATATATATATATATATATGCCAGTTTGTATATGCTAGTGTGATACTAGTAATTTTGGTGTTTAAAATCCAGATTAAGCAATTGCACAGCCCGCTTTTACGCTCCAGAGCATTGAAATGCAATGCGCATTTGAACCTTTACTCATTACTGGTGCTTTAGGTACGTACACCTCATTTTGCATTTAGACAGTTGCTATTACTATCAGCAAATGTGCGATTTCTGCTACTCGATTCTTTAAATCAGGTGCCGCTCGCTCCAAATTCTCATTGGCAAAGTCACACGATGGGAATATATGCACAACATAGGCTGCTTGCTCACTGCCGGGCATCGGTATGTTTACTATGCCTGCAGCCATTTTCTGTTGCAAGTAGGTGATGAAGCCAGTTTGTAAGTTCCGCGACTGCTGCAAAACGTCCGCGTGGTCGCGGCCACAAGGTAGCGCCAAGAGCATGCAATGCTCGTTTTCAAACTGCAAGTATACATATTTGAACATTATAAATTCTGCCTTATGTATTTGATTGCTATAACTCACCTGCATCTTCTTGGTCACTCCCTCTAGCTGTGTCTGCTCCAGCCGCATGCGTTGAGCTATACGCAGCGGCGGTGTACTACCGTCGCGGTTGCAGGGCAACGAGGCACGCGCGACATGAGGGTTGCCGAACACGAAATGCATCTGTACTGCTGCCTGATCGGTCTTGAGTGCCAAAAGACCCTGCCACATGACTGGATAGCGTTGAAGGAGTGTGAGCAGTGAGTCAGCTGATGGCGGTTGTGTCACTTGTGGATTGGCATGGGATGGTGTCGCTACTTGCAGACTTCTCGTTTGAGTTGTGGTTTGTGGTGGTTGACCAGCAGCAGAAGACAAAGTATCTGCGGTGGAGGCTAGTGTGGTGAGAAAAAGTTTTGGTGATTTCATAATTGCGGGAGTGTGCGCGGAAAAGTCCACTTACGTGTAATTGCAATACGTTCTTTTTCACGCTGCAGTTGCTGTTGCTCTCGTTCGCGCTGCTCGCGTTCCTGCTCAATCCGTTGTGCGGAATGCAGATGTGCTACGGCAGCTGATGGTGGTTGTACATTAAGGTTGCCGCCACCAGTTGTAGTGTTTACCACTGCTGTTGCCGCTGACGCTGGCTGTACCGTCGTAGGTGCCCCGCCAATGAATGGGCTGGCTGCTCCCGCGACTGGTGGTGGCACGGCGACCGGCGGTGGTGGCGCCACAACACTATGCGCTGCAGCTGAACGATGAGCTGGTGGTGGTTCGACCGGCAATTGACGACCCGCCTCGTAGAATGCGCGCTCAGTGTAATGCGGATGTGGTATGCGGGTGTTGTGTACATATACTTGAGCCACTTGTGGCGAATCTGTGGAATTGAAGCAAATATTAAGGCGTAAGTTGTAAATTAGAAATGCGTATAAGTATATTTATATAACGTACCTGTGGCACGGTCTTGTGGACTTTGTAGTCCATGCGGCACAGCGATCGTACGTGGCACGCTACCCGGTCGTCGCAATTCCAATGGTGGACTACCAGCGAGTATTTTTTCGTCGAACTCACCACGCAAAGAAGCATTGATAGTTTCCTGTTGATTGCGTAATATGTGCTGGTAGATGATAAACGAATCACGTGCTGGAACACCGCGTATTCCACCAACCGGGAAGCTGGATTCACTCTGTTGAAGAGAGATGTTAATTAGTAATTTGCGTTTGAACACAAATTCCATAATAAAACAACTTCAAAACTATAAAAAAAGGCAAACAGGCGAATACATAAGTGTGGCGTTTACCGGTGTTATGGGCGAGGCTTGCTGATGCGCGGGCGGTGGACTTTTTGTTGTACGCGAACCAGAAGCATTGGCGCAATAGCTGCTGATTTCATGCTGCGTCCGCAAGTTGATATGACGACAAATAACATTTACAGATTTAAAAAAATTTTGCAATAATCAGAATTTAAGCAAGTTAAAAAAGTGTACTTATTCAACTGGAGACATTTTTATTGTTTTAAACTATACTAGAATGCCACTTCTCACTCCCTTTTATCAAAATTACACGTTTGTCAGAAAATGCGAAAAACTATTTCCATTCCTTTTTCAACTTCGAGTGTGAGTGGACGTGCTAAGCGCAAGTGACCTAATTGTACTTTCTTTTGGCGCATACCTTACAAGTGTTTCAATCAAGTGGTTTTATTTTAATAATTATTTAATTTTGCTTGTATGTGCAAGTGAATTTATTTGCTACACAAAGTGTGATTTTTTAATTAAGGTGGAGCTACTTTTGAAGGTTTCGACAGTGGATTTCTGCAGAATTTAATTTTGAAGGTCTAAGTAAAGTCACCACTTTACTAGGATAAATCCAGGTGAGTGATTCTGCTCCTTTTACTTGTGGAAAAATTGACTTTTTGTGAGTGGTAGTGCTGTAAATTTTTGGGTAGGCTGTCGCCTACGGCAGCAAGAAAACCCAAAGCCGGCATGGCGTCTTCGACATCATTGTCGAGGGCGTCGTCGGCCGAGGATTTTGACTCGCTAGTGAACTCAAACCTTGCAAGAGGCAAGAGGTTCAAGAGAGATAGGGAACAAAAGCTTGTCAGGTCACTTAAAGGCCAAGATTTGGAAAAAATTTTTGTAGACTGTACTTCCAGTGAGGTTGGGTTTGCTGGTGGTGAAAATGGCGACTCTTCTATGTGCGTTGAATATAACGGAACTGCAACGGTTAGTGAGGCGTCTTTTGTGGCGTCGGATAACGGACAAGACAGTTTTGCAAATGCAAGTGTAAATGAGGGAGACAACACTACAAACGCAATGAATGAAAACGGACTAGACGACATTACAAAGAAAATAAGTGAAAACGGACAAAACAAAAATACAGTGGATGACATGATATTATACCCAGACAATTTCTCAGGTGCCTACTTTGTTTTGGTTGATTCATCTATGTGTAAGGAGATGTGTAACGAAAAAATCGGAAATGGTTTGACACTGCAGACGGAATCAAACATCTGAAAATTAAAAACATTGATTCGATACGGGCTGTTGGTAAAACACTTTATTAAGTGGTTTTTCTTAAATATGCTTCGGCTAACAATTTTGTCTTGAATGACAAAGTCAAGAGTATTGGCCTGTGTCCCTTTGTGCCTAGGTCGGCTATAGAAACTTATGGGGTAGTTAGGGGTAGTTACCTCATATAGCGATTCTGAAATTAAAAACAATGCGATCTCCTCTGTGCCTATAAATACGGTGTGGCGTTTTAAGCGTAGGGATGGTGAAAACGGTTTCACTCCTACAACTACAATTAAGATTGGGTTCATTGGTAAAGATATTCCAAATTCCATAGTGCTTCATTACACTAAGCTGAAAGTTGGCTTTTTTATACCACCACTTCGCCAATGTCTAAATTGTGGCAGACTCG